ATCAGTTCAACTGAATGCATAAATTATGGAAATGAGAAATGACACTTGCCTAGTGTAAACACAACAATACTGATTGGTTAAACTGAATGCATAAATTATGGAAATGAGAAATGACACTTGCCTAGTGTAAACAACAATACTGATTGGTTAAACTGGATGTATAAATTACGGAAGTGAGAAATGACACTTGCCTAGTGTAAAGAGAACAATACTAATTGGTTAAACTGAATGCATAAATTATGGAAATGAGAAATGACACATGCCTAGTGTAAACACAACAGTACTGATTGGTTAAACTGAATGCATAAATTATGGAAATGAGAAATGACACTTGCCTAGTGTAAAGAGAACAATACTAATTGGTTAAACTGGATGCATAAATTATGGAAATGAGAAATGACACTTGCCTAGTGTAAACACAACAATACTGATTGGTTCAACTGAATGCATAAATTATGGAAATGAGAAATGACACTTGCCTAGTGTAAACACAACAATACTGATTGGTTAAACTGAATGCATAAATTATGGAAATGAGAAATGACACTTGCCTAGTGTAAAGAGAACAATACTGATTGGTTAAACTGGATGCATAAATTATGGAAATGAGAAATGACACTTGCCTCGTGTAAACACAACAATACTGATTGGTTAAACTGAATGCATACATTATGGAAATGAGAAATGACACTTGCCTAGTGTAAACACAACAATACTGATTGGTTAAACTGGATGTATAAATTACGGAAGTGAGAAATGACACTTGCCTAGTGTAAAGAGAACAATACTAATTGGTTAAACTGGATGTATAAATTACAGAAGTGAGAAATGACACTTGCCTAGTGTAAACACAACAATACTGATTGATTAAACTGAATGCATACATTATGGAAATGAGAAATGACACTTGCCTAGTGTAAACACAACAATACTGATTGGTTAAACTGAATGCATAAATTATGGAAGTGTGAAATTACACTTGCGTAGTGTAAACACAACAATACTGATTGGTTAAACTGAATGCATAAGTTATGGAAATGAGAAATGACACTTGCCTAGTGTAAACACAACAATACTGATTGGTTAAACTGAATGCATAAATTATGGAAATGAGAAATGACACTTGCCTAGTGTAAACACAACAATACTGATTGGTT